AGAAAACCCTAAGCCTTAAGCCCTAAACCCTAAAGAAAAGCATGAAATGTGCCCTGAAGAAAGCCCGCAAAGGGTGGATCAAGGGCTCGGTGTAAGGGGTACTTGGACCTGATTGGAACCTCAGGATCACTTACGTCGCCGAAATCTTAAGAATCAAAGCACGCAGGGTTTCGGGTTTACGGTTTGGGGGAAGGGAGACTTTAGGAAGAGGTTTCCATGGTTCGCGGGATTTAGTCTTCTTGCAGCTAGGGCTTGGAGGCTTTAGGATAGGATATCCGATTCAGGGCTCGTAGTTGTAGTTTAGTCGGTCGGGTCCAAGACAAGCTTCCGGCTTTCAGGTTTAGCGGTTTCATGGTAAGGAGTAGAAACCTTAAATGGTTGATTTGGGGATAAGGGTGTTTGGTTTCCATCAAGTCGCATACACCAGCATAACGCCGAACAAAAGGCCCATCTGTCCAAGAGCTCGCTTTGTGGCCTACCCTAAATCTTGAACCCCAAACACCACTGACCCGCCACCCTACAACCCCTACCCCATTTAGACCTTAAGCCTATAGCCAAGCCCCGCACTGCTAGTTCTGGACCCCAAACTCGAGAAACTAAAGTCTAACCTATTTGACGAAACTAAAGTAAACCTAGTTCACGGTTTAGGGTTTATAGGGCTTTGTGGACTCCAGAATGTCTCCAAAGCCTTCAACTACACAGCAACCCCTGCGAACAAGACTCTGCAAATACCCATAGGCCCCTAAGTAGGTCCTTTTTATGGTTTATATTTAGAATCCATATAAGGTAATCCCAAAAAGGAACTATTTAGGATCCATGTAAGGTAATCCCAAAAAGGAACTATTTAGGATCCATATAAGGTAATCCCCAAAAGGAACTACTTAGGATCCATAGAAGGTAATCCCAAAAAGGAACTATTTAGGATCCTCTGGGTAGGAACCAACCCTCGCGACATTGCGCGGCGGCTGGGAAACCAAGGCCCGGAATTCTGCGCTGTCGGTCCTAAAGCCGAAAGTCCTCAACCCAATACAGCCCGAACGCCCTGTTTAGGGTTTAGGGTGAAGTTTTCTTAGGTCGGGGCTTTGGCTTGGATTTGGGAGCTTAGGGCTCAGCGCTTTGGGAGCTTAGGGCTCGGCTTTTGCGGCGGCTGGGGATTGAGTGAGTTTAGGGCTTCGGAATTGTGGTAAGGGTCATCTACCTGTGGAGTTTAGGGCCCACCTGTATTATAGTCTCTATCGTAGTTTTGGTTTAACCAATTCTGTACTTATAAGGATCCTAAAAGGTAGCCCCAAAAAGGAACTACAATGGAGACTTTAGGCAGGACTCAGGCTGGAGGAGTGTTGAGTTTAGGGCTCAGTCCTCAGGACGGTTTAGCATGCCGGCTAGGTCGTTGTAAGGATATGCGTTTGGGGTTCCTTCTTGGTTTACTCGTGCTAAACATTGCTTGTGCCAAATTCAAAGCCCTAAACCCTACGTCCGAAACCCTAAGCCATAAATCCCAGAGTCTTCATTCTAGCAACTTAGATCATAGCTTAGCCTCAAGGACCCAGCTAGTAGGGCTACAGGCTAGCAGCCTGTTTTCGGGTTCCGACCATGATCATAGTATGATATGCCCCTAAACCGCCTAAACCCGATTCTATTGCTTAAGGCTGGTATCTTTGGTTTTAAGGTTTTAAAATCTCAAATACTCTACTCTGAAGGGGTTTTGTTTTGATTTTGGGTACTCAGAACCGGGTGTTGTGCAAGGACCTTTCGGGGACCAGATCTCGAGAATGCAACCACAACCCTGCAAGCGGGGGGAATCGTAAAAGCCCCTAAGCCCCTGATTCTGACGCCTGAGCCGCGAATGTTAATGCCGAAGCCCTAGTCTAAACCTTTACCTAAAGCCTGAAGTCACCTCGCAACTTCCACATCATCAATACCACAAAACTAGACCCTAATCCCTAAACCCGAAAAAGATGGAGAATGCAAGATGAAGGTGGGCTTAGTCGCCCTTCTTTCGGTTCTATCCAGGCAGAGGAGGAAGAAGTCATCGAAAGCCTGGGCCTTACTTCGAGGCTCAGCCGTTTTGGGGCCTTAAGGCCTTTAAAGAGGTGTTTCTCTTTAAGAGTACTCTTAAGCTTTTGGTATATACCCAAAAAGGTTCCTTTAAGTTGTGCCCTTTTTGGTAGGGTAGTAGAGGGTTTACATCAGAAGGGGTTCTGTCAGGGTGCATGTACCTACAGTTACGGTATTTACATGGGCCCCCAAGGCGCTTTCCTACGTCGTAAGATTGCGACCAAAACATCGATCCCTAACCCCCCCAGGTACCTACTATATAGGGTACTAGAGCCCCTAGGGCCCTATATAGTAGGTACCTGAGGGGTTAGGGTATGAGAGCCGTTCGGTTTTCGACGTTCAGGCTTCGGGCTCAGGTTCAGCATTCCGGATCCAAGGTTTCAGGGCCAGGCCGACCCGATTTTTGGGACGAATTTTAGTTCGACAACAGCGGTACTCTCCCTTCTTCACAACAGAGATGGGATCTTGTTTATCCAGTCCCTGAGCCCGAAATCGGAAAAAAATACCATAAACTCTACCAGGTTTTCTTTCGTTCGGGGTCGCAGAGCTGGGGGGTCGCGCGTTGGTCGGATGCGCAGCACATGCAATGGAGCAGCTTGATGTTCTTTCGAGATTGGAGTGCCAACACAGAATCAGACTTGGAATTTGGCATTTATAGTACGTTGGGTTCCGACTATGCGAATTATCATTATTTGGGAGCTTGGATACAAAGTTTCGACATCCCCACGTACATCCCGCCTTAATCCCCAGACTCTAAGCCACCAACAAATCACTAGTTCCCAACTTCTAAAACGCTAAACCCTGACCGCTGCGATTTTTTCTGAGCAACTGGCAACCCAAGGATGTATTCGTAACCTCAATAACATTCGTACCTGGATCGTACCGCGACCTCATGTTACCTAACCACCCAAATATCCGCCTCCCTAAAGCACTGATTTCAAGAAATCCTAAACCCTGACGCTAATCCCCTAAATCTTAATCCCCTGAACTATAAATGGACCCTAAAACCTTAAAGGAAATTGTTGATGCGCTTCTGCTGGGCTTAT